GGGCGGGGTAGGGTGGGCACAGCAAGCCAGGTGGCTGGCAGGGAGCAGTCTCTCACCGGCAATGGGGGCCGGGGCCGCGTCAGGACTGGAGCCAGTGGGGTGGAGCAGAGCCTGAGCTTCCGGGGGCCCGCAGCCAGAGCCGAGCTCCAGCAGCCCTTTAAAATTGGCGGGGTGGGGCCAGGCATTGCCGGGGGCAGCTGCTTACCTGGAAATGCTTCCCCTGGAAATGTGCAGCCTCAAGCATGTGCTTGATTTGCTAGTGCCTAGAGCCAGCCCTGTTAGCTAGAGGGCTGTAAATAGGTCTGGTGAATATCCAGCAACTTCAGAATGATGCAGCTATGCAAAGTTCTAGGCCCAGAATACCCCCTCCACCTACACTCATGGGTGTAATGTCCTTAGAGGTGTGATGATGCCTCTACTAACTCATTTCCCCCCACCTCTTCCCCCTCCCATACACCTTTCAAATCTCCCCCCCCACCACAGCCAAATTAATGACTCATTAATTTCTTGATTCCACCTTGAATTTCTGGGTGGAAAAGGAATGTGGTTGTTCAGTTGATAACAGGCTGTGGTATTTAGTAATTACACACTAAGCAACTGTTCTTTTCCAATAATTTTATTAAATAAATGAAATTATTTGTTGTTTGATTACCAGAGAATACTAAATAATTCACTACTGATCGGAATGAGTGACTCTGGCTGTGAACTACTCACAGAACATGCAAACCTGTGTTGAAGAAACTGAGGTGTTAATTCCCACTCATCACATAATACATGTGTGGCTATGTGCAGTGAAACAACACCATGCCATCCTTCCAAACCATTGTGCTTGGGAACCTGCATGTGGTGCTACATCACTTGCAAGAACACTCGTTGGGCCGCTCTTGCACATGGTAGCATCGGGTGTGACATTTGACTTCTCATAAGCCACAGGCAATACTTCCCAGTGCTTGGCTTGAATTAGTCCTAAAGGACCTACAGAGATTGCCTAATAGAGCAGCTTCCATTTTAGACTCTAAGGCTGCAACCTGTGCGTGTATGTTTGTAAATAGCTCATTTCTTTTTATTAGCTAAGAAATCTTTTGTTCATTTGTTATAGGGCCGGCTATTCAGGAGTTCAGCATGAAGCAGGCCCCTAGCACAGAAAGGATCAGCCTGATGGGCTAAGGTTTGGTAGTTGTAAACTGAAAACAATTCCTGCTAATGGGAAGTGATAGGCTACCAGCCCTCTCTGACATGCACATCCCATTCTGCACCCTCCATCTCGCTGTCTGTTCCTTCTGCAGCTGCCCCCTCACAGAAATCTCCCAGTTGCCCTACCATGGACTCCCTAGGATCTGCTGGAGCCCCTTTTCCCCTCTTCTGCTGCAAGCTCCCCTTCCCCATGGTCCTTAGCATCTCTGGAGCTTTCTACCTGCCTCAGAGAGCTCCCAGCTTCTCCCACGATGGCTCCCCCGGGTCTCCCTGCACCTCCATGGTAGCTCCGTTAAAGGACCAATAGTGGGTTTGGGTCACCTCCTCTGATGCAGCGACAGAGGTTTGATTTACTTCTCAGTCTCTGCTGTCTGTGGGTATGTCTACACTACAGTGTTATTCCAAAATAGCTTATTTTGAAATAATGCATCTGTACACAAAATGCATTTTGAAATAGCATTTTGCTATTTCGAAATAGTGCGTCCACACTGAGAGGATGCTGAATCACATTTAAGACCAGCCGGAACCAGGTCCGGCAGGGCATCAGGTCAGGAGTTACTTTGTGTGGCTGCTGCTTCAGGCTATCTGAGGCCTGTGCTTAAAGGGACCCCCCCGGACAGCTGGTTCTCAGCTTTCCCTGATTGCTTGCCTACCTCAGTGAGGGACAGCGAAGCATTTTATCTCTGCATGCTCTGGTTGCCCTCACTTGGGACACCACAGCGCTCTGCAACATGGAGCCAGAGCTGCCCCTGGCACTCTGGTGCTTCTCATGGACGTGTTGCTGCGAGCCTG